AGGAAACATAATATACAAATTTTACCCATTTACTAAAGTGACTGATAGGCAACTCAAGAAAAATCAAGGTTGTTAATCAGTTCAGCACGCAGTCTAGGTGGAAGACAGTTGCATTAACAAGAGCATCAATCAAATGAAGTTAGGGGTGAAATGTAGTCCCAGAAAAAGACTGGGCAAAGGATCAAGTTGAAGAAAAGGTTGAGGAGTACAATACCAAAGTGAAGATTCCATGAAAACAAAGGGACAGAACCTTAAAGATTTAGAAGAGTAACTGGTCCTCTAATAAATGGTTGCCTAACATTATCTAGTGCTGTTCAGTTATAGATGTGTATAAAGCTGACACAAATATATTACAATAGAACATAGTTGTCCAATCTTTTAGCTTGCCTGGGCTGCATTGAATGAAGAGGAATTGTCTTGAACCAAGGAAAAATATATTTTTCATTATCCTGTGGTGTTGCTTTACTTAACTGTTCAAGGCTGCATGCTATTCATGGGCTGTGTGTTGGACATGCCTGGTACAGTGGATAGGAGTATGCAGTGCTTTGGATTTGATTCTAAAAAGATGCTTCAGTGCACTTGGAAGTGTGAATATATCCCAAAGGTGCCTTTTTCAAGAGGCAGCTGGACTTACTTGTTTTTTTTTTTTTAAGACATTTTGCTTATCCAAGAAGTTTCTTCAGCTCTGACTGGATGGTGGGGAATGGAAGGATTTATATTTTTTGCAGTCAGCTGGACATTTGCATTACTTTAGAGAGTCATTGAGCCACTTGGAGGTTTATCTGTATCCTCAGGGTCACCTGAGTAGTACAAATGAATGTGGAGACATCTTGGAACTGCTGAAAGGACTGTGTTGTGGACTGGAAATAGACGATGTCACATCCCTTCCTGTGTTGAGAGAGGGTTGTTCAGTTTTGACATAGATGGCCTCATTGACCACTCTTTCAAATCAGTGGTCCTTTCTGTCCAAAATGAGTACTTTGCTATCTTCAAAAGTGTGGCCTTTGTCTTTCAAATGCAGATGGACTGCTGAATCTTGTCCTGGTGGGTTTGTTCTCCTATGATATGCCATGTGTTTGATAAACCTCCAAGTGGCCTCAATGACTAAAATAATGCAAATGACCAGTTGTCAGCAAGGAAAATAAATCCTTCCATTCCCTGCCATCCAGTCAGAGCTGAAGAAACTTCTTGGATGAGAAGCAAAACATCTTCAGAGAAAAACAAGAATGTCCAGTTGCCTCTTGAACAAAGAACTTTTGGGACAATCATGACCTGGATGACTGAGAATCTCCATAGACAAGTGTGAATACAGCACTTGTTTTCTACTTTTTAAAACAGCTGTCTTTTTGTTGGTTACATGGCAGCTGCAGCTTATGCATCCTTGGGGGGGGGAGGGGGGTTGTATTGTGATATTATTGTACGCATACAATTTTTCATCATCATGACTGGCTGTGGTCAGGTATAGCTGAGTATCTGCATTTATCTAATGCAATACTAGTTTTCAAACATTACACATATTAAGGCTTATAATATATCTAATGTACGGAGTATGATTTACTTTTTAAAATTGTATTTTTTTATCTTTCCAGGTGTTGGCAGCTACAAACCGAAAGATAAGGAGGAAATTATGGCTATGTTCAGTAGATATTGAATTATCACTTACAATATAAGATAGGACTAACATTCAAGCCTGCTTTGTATCAGAGGATCCCCTTTTCAGTCAAAACATGTGTCAAGATGACAATAAAAATGTTGATCTGATGTATGCAATGTATTGTATGTTTCAAAAGGAATTAATAACTGAATGCCAACAAAGGTAAATTATTGTAAGACATGATATATTGAAATACTTACAAAGGGACTGACAATTTTATTACATGCTGCCAGAGATATATTCAGCATAGAGAGAGAGAAATGAGCATGGAAAATAGAAAGATCTTAAAGAGATTTTTCTTTCTGCAATCTGAAACATATCAAAATAAATGGACAGAGTCTTGAGTAACACTTGCATATGCTGACTTACATATATGCATATACATTTAGCATGTATAATATAATTGAAATGGACATAAATACATCCTACTGAAATGGAGAAGACTATGTAATTTCATTAACTGCTGATGGACAAATGTTTTATCTTTTTAACTCTGGTCTTCAAATTCTTGTATTTTATAAAAGTTGTTGAAATAGAAGTCTTCCCTCTAAAGTGAGAGACAAAGCATCTTAGATTACTTTTTTAAATTAACTAGTTTGATGCCTCCCCATTTCAAAATACTCAAAAGTAGTGTAGAATACTATATAGCAAAAATAAAACTACAACTACAAACCAACAGAAAAAAATAATTTATCTCTTGTGCTCTGTAGGGACTGTCCATGGCCCTTCCCCACCTACCCTGCATTTCTTGCTTGGGACTCCTGCCTCTTCCTGTTTAATGATCCATGCAGTCCTGAGGCTACAATGACACCCATGTCTGTCAAAATTGCTGTCACTAAGCAATGCAGTCCCATGAATTGTGCTTTACAATGGCATCACTTAGTGATGGAAGTTCCAATCCCAATTGCTATCATAAACACAAGACATTCTATATCCAGCTAGAACAGGGGTGTCAAACTCGTGTAGTCACAGCAGCTTTCTCCCCCTTCGCTAAACCGGGGGTGGGGGTGGCCAACACGGGATGCATCTGGCCTATGGGCCCGGGTGTTTGACAGCCCTGAGCTAGAAAATAACAGTTAATGACGTTCTTTTACATTCCTTCAAAGGAATAGGTTGAAACTTGTAATTAACTTGTAAGTAAGGCTTGGTAGGGGTGGGTGGGGGGCATGATTTCCCTACTTTATTCCTCTCCAGTTTACATTGCTACTTCCAAATTTATCTTTTAATACACAGGAGTTTTACAATTCATCTGGGTGACATTAAAGGCAGAAATATGCCAAAATATACACCTTCAATTCATTCTCAGATGTTTTGTCAATAGTGGTTTTCACATCCACAGTAATACTCCTTGAGGCCTCCCCTAAACATTCAAGTAACCACAAATACCATCACAACTATTTGCATCTTTCATGTACATTTATTAAGTGTTATTCTAAAATATCAAAATGCTATGCAGAAATCAGCCCGCATCTTGACTGATTATCTTTTGCCTTTTGTTCTCAGAGAACAGAATTCCTATTAAATTCAGGGTGGCAACCTATTTGTAAATGAACATATTTATTGTATTTTACAAATTACCCCGACAAAAATACATTTGAGCAGAAGAAACAAAACAGAAAAACTCACAGCATTGTAGCAGACATTCAAACATTTTTCTTCACGTTGAAATTTTTAACCCCATGTTTCCTGCTAACAACATATCATGGCAGATATGATCCTTGTTCACTGTAACAAAACACTGAACTATCAATAATATGAAATTTGATACCACTAAAGCACTGTCTGCATGTTCCAGCTGAACACTTTTCATCTTAAGTGAGGTAAACAGAGAAATTGAGATGGGCAATAAACATATAGAAGCCTGATTTACACCTCTTTTATCACTGCAAGTGATAAAATGTTGAACATGATTGTGTTGTGTATATAGACAACAGAATGCAATTCTCCAAACAAGATAGTAACACAAAGGCTTATATTGTTAACCTTGTTTGCTGATCACTTGTCCAACTTAATTATTATTTTACGGTGCTTCCAGATGTTGGCTCCCACTATCCACATTTGGTGGCATTATGGCATGTAAGGTCATGGATGAGAGAAGACAATTGTGCAAAAGGCTCATCTGGAAGTATTTTGAAACATCTCGAGATTGAATAACTGATGCATTAAGAACCCACCATTCCTTGCATTGTTGCAAATGCAATTTTTTAGCTAGAAAAATCCCTACCTTAGATGAAGACTGCTGCAAAGTCAAATGGAGAATTCCAATCACGTTGCACAGGACAAAAAGAGAGACTTAACATTCCATTTCTCTGCTACAACAAACACATGCACCTTTTGCCATTTTCAAATAATTTTATCACATGTGATCTCACATAAGGGCACTTCCGCTAATACAATAGAAATTCCACCCACAACAATGATGTTCATGAAGAGATTCAATAATATCCTCCATCAAATGTGTGTTATGTCTATGTTCAGGCATCAAAATTGAGGCAGTTGCCCATTTTTTCTAAAATGCATTTATTACCCTCAGAAGCTGGACTTAAATTCTTTCCTAATTGCAAGCTATCCAGATGTGCACTTCCTATTAAATGACATCGGAACATTTTTAGAAAGATGGTCATAGCAATGATGGACAGAAATTGCTGGATCTGAATATTTTAGGCATGCTTAGTTTATTATTTTTATGTTTGTTTGTTTATGTTGCCCATCTCCCTAATAAAGCAATTCTGTACGGCTTTCACAGCAGTTCCTGCTTTGAAAAGCCTTTATGCTGATCATTTTTTATTTTAACGTTTTTCCCCTCAGTCAGTCCCCTTCTGACTGCCTATTCTTCATTAACGAAAAAACCCCACTATCTGCCAGTAGAATTTCTCTCTCCTAGATAAACTTATCCTAGTTCCAAATAGCCGGGCAGGAGCGGGGGGGAGGAAGACAGGATCCGGAAGGTTTTATTTTTATATATATAAAATACCCATACAGCAACAGATTGTAATAACTATACTCTGCGCCTTACGATCTGTTGATATTAAAGATGCAGGATGATTTACTGCCACAAATTTAGACTATTTCAATACAGCTTGGTTATTTCACTGTCTCTCCCCCCCCCCCACTTATTCGCCATAATGTCACAGAAAATAAATTAATTCGGTATATCAAAAAAAAAAAAAAGAAGAAACACTGGATGAATCGAAGGTCCCGTTCTCAGCAGACTATCTCTCTTCCCTCCCCGCCACCCCAGCATCACAGCGGCGTCGCTTATGCCTTTCCCGGAACCAAAATGTCGCAGCACTTGTTTCCTGGGGGCATGGCCTTCAGCTCTTCCCACCGGAAGCGTTGCTACCCGGGCGGATTAGACCCGCGCTTTTCTCAATACAGCGGAGGAGAGAGGTGGTAACTCGAGCGATAGCAGGGATCACCCCGCCTGTGGTGTTTCTACAAGGGTGGCTCGTCTTCGGGATTAAGGGAATGTGGAGGCTGGCTAGGTGCCCTTTAAGCGCCCTCGCGGGGACGCCGACGCCGACAGGTCAGAAGGTGGTCGAGCCGTCTCCTTTAAGTATCGTAGAGGGAGGATGCAGCGCCTTGTGCCTTTTGCAGGGCAGCCCTTAAATCAAGGGTCTTCAAACTTGGCAACTTTTAAGACTTGTGGACTTCAACTCCCAGAATACCTGTGCTAACATGACTGGAGGAGGAATTCTGGGAGTTGAAGTCCACAAGTCTTAAAGCTGTCCGGTTTGAAGACCCCTACCTTAAATCTTTCGTACAGCAACAAGAGCCAATTGCACACACGCCCCACCCTTTTCAGGGATATGAAGTGAAACGGTTGAGCTCCTGTTCCGTGCCTGTCTCTCTTGTCAGGCGTACGGCTCAAAGGAACCAGGTTAGGCAGCTACTTCGTATCTATAATAATTGTGAAAGGAGACAAACGTTAACCGGTATAAATTGTCCTTACCCACTGCAAGTCTAGGCTTTGGGAAAAGTGCAAAGAAGAGGAACTAAGATTATTAAAGTCCTGGAGACAAAAACATATGAAGAACGGTTGCAGGAATTGTTAGGGCTAGTCTAGAGAAAAGAAGGACTAGGAAGGGGTGACATGATAGCAGTCTTCTAGTATTTGAGGGGCTGCCACAAAGAAGAGTGGGGTCAAATTATTCTCCAGCATCAGAAGGCAGGACAAGAAACAATGGATGGAAACTAATCAAGGAAAGAAGCAACCTGGAATGAAGGAGAAACTTCCTAACAGAACAATTAACCTGTGGAACCGCTTGCCTTCAGAGGTTGTGGGTGCTTCATCACTGGAGGTTTTTAAGAAGAGACTGGACAGTCACTTGTCTGAAATTGTATAGGGTCTCATGCTTGAGCAAGGGCTTGGATTGGAAGACCTCGAAGGTCCCTTCCAGCTTTATTCTGTTGATTGACAATAAAGTTTGGAGGGTTGGTGCATTATCTTTAAGATAGAAGTCCTTCTGTCCTTGGTTGTGGCAAGATGACAATAAAGGGAGATAGGTTGGCAATGGTCTTGAGAAACAGCAGTTTATTCTGTTAATTGTTCAACATTTGTATTTCATTCCTTATGTTTTTTTTAATGCAATATTGTAACTGGTTTTTGCCCATTATTAGTATAGTAGGTGCTGTTGGGTAATATTCTTCTCAGTCTCAAATAAGCTGCTGTGGCTTTCAGAAATATGAGGACTATGATTCCCATCATATCCAGTCAGCGTGTTTGGTAGACTACACAACCTGATGTCTTCAGAGGAAATATAACTCTAACCAACTTCCTATGAGAGAAATGTTTCATGGATATGCTACTGATTTGTTAGATGCCTTTATGAGAGTTGTGTATAGGCCAATTCCTTTATAGCAATAACTTTTTGTGCATTTTTTTATTTTAGGTTTTGGTGGAATCAAAATTCTCACTGCTGGTTACAGGAGCTATGATCCGCTTCCAGATTATACAGGTATGCTAAGGGATCGAGGAGAATATTACTGAAATGGTGTTACTTTTATTGCTTTTAAATGTGAAAAATGGTAGTGAAAAATATACCGTTCTTTTGGTTTGATATTAACACATTCTCCCAATCAATTTTGTACTTTTAACAATCCAAACTTTTGTTGCTGACGTTTGGCAGCAAATCAGTGAATACCATAAAGATAAAATAATTTCCCATGAATGCTATTTGTTTAATGTGTTTGTAGATAATTTCTCATTTTAAGAACAAATCTTGTAACAGTACAGTCAAAATACAAAATATAGATAATAAATTTAAAAAATAGTATAGTTGAAAACCAAGGGAAAGAAGGAAGAATACAAGTGAAGCCAATACAGAGACACAGAAACATAAATAGGAATAAAAGACATGAGGGAAAAAATAAGTGTTCAATAGATCCCTAAAAGTATAATACAGGGCCTCATTTATTTCAGAAGGGAGAATATTCCAGATTGATAAACAGATACCAGTAATTTGAGCACCTTTGTTATTTTCTTTTGATGGAATTGGGCCATATATTTCTAAAATATTTCCATATTCGTTAATATTATAATATTGCTCTTGAGGTGTCATGCATTTAGTGTACATGGTTATCTTCATATACTTTACTTAGCAAAGCAATTCTGGGACATCTGTTAAAAGTTCTTTGTATTAGAACTGAAATCAAACTAATTATAACATGTTAGTTATGCCACTGATAGTTCTTTAGTTAAGGCTGAATAAAAACTTGCTCCTATATTATAACTTTATTCCATAGAGCCTCTTATATTATTTCAAATGTAGATTTGAGCCTTTAAAAAAATCTAAAGAGAGTTTGCTCAGTTTAAAGTAAATGTGCAATCTCAAAAAAAGGCAGTGGACAGTAGATAAACCACCCTGTCTTCTGCTGCTTTTGAATTTAGCATTAACAACACGATAGGCTCTTTCCTTGATCCCAACTTTAGATTTAACTGAAGGGAATAAAAATAGTTTTGATATATATGAATATCTCCAAGTGCCACTTAAATGTAAGGGGAAAATCTACTTCTAACTTAAGGCCAATTTAGATTACTGTAGTTGCAAAGCTGAAATACGCACATTTTTTGCAACCACTTCTAGTACTCCCTCTTTTGGTCAATGCCATGTACTTGCCTGCTGTATGTAGATTCTATTTATCACTTTGGATTAAGTTGTTGGAATGTTCTTCCTTCTCTATATTTCTTCAAAGTTGGTTCTTACATAAAACTTAAAAGGACAGAATTTCTGTCAACCTATCAGCTACCTTTATCAAAACTTTAACCGGACACTCTTAATTAAGATGCCTTGGTCTCTTGACTTAGTAATTTCTAAGTAATGTTTTGTTTTAAAAGATAGTGATGGTGGTTCTATATAGTTGGGGTAGGGAGGCAGTTAGAAGGCACAAGCATAATTCATGAACTGAAATTCAGAAATCTGAGTAGTCCAGCTAAAAGGCAGTTGTGAGAAAAACTGAGTCTACAATTCCATTCTTTTAGGAATTGTCATTCCTGAGAAACCCAAATTAAAAATTGTTGAGAGACAACCAAACTTGCTTAAGGTTAGGCGACAGCCCAAGAATTTACGTGACATCCGAGGTCCATCTACAGAAGCCACTGAATTTACTGAAGGAAAATTTGGTATTTTGGTAAGTAAGAATCTTCTTAGTTGTATAAAACAAATATAAAATGGTGGCAATTGGATGGGAAAGAGGAGATCCCCTCTTGCAATTTCAAAAACGTTACTTAATGACAGTTTTTCTTACTTGAATTATAAAACAAAATTCCCCCTCGACTTTCCTTGACCTGCAGGCTATGGGTGGTGGCTATCTCCGCTGGGTTCACTTTGAAGTGATGCGTCTGAGTATTAATCGGCACATGAATCCCAAGACAATGTTCGCTCTGTGGAGAGTCCCTGCTCCTTACAAACCCATTACTCGCAAAGGACTAGGACACCGTATGGGTGGTGGCAAAGGTGCAATTGATCACTATGTGTCAGCAGTGAAAGCAGGTCGCCTGATAGTGGAAATTGGTGGGCAATGTGAGTATACTGAGGTGAAATACTTCCTCACTCAAGTGGCCAAGAAACTGCCTTTCGAAGCCCAAGCAGTCAGCAAGGAAACCCTTCAAGAGATGCGGGACAGAGAAGAGGAGAGGCGATGTAATAACCAGAATCCATGGACATTTGAGCGCATTATTACTGCCAATATGCTGGGAATACGGAAATATCTGAGCCCTTATGACCTACAGTACAAGGGTCGCCACTGGGGAAAGTTCTTCCTGCCTGACAGGGTGTGAGTGGAGATTTTAGGAACCTGATCAATTGTTGCAGCAATTCTTTGAAAACTTTGTCTTTCTCTACAGAGATATTTGTGGGTGAAGAATCAAATGAGTGACTATATATCTGGAAGTCCAATAAGTATGGGGAGGGTGATGGAGTGGTGATAATGATGTAGAACTTGGGTAAATAAACTCATTATGGAAATTTGTTAGTGTTTCATATTTAGACTTTCATCTGACAAATTCTGTGCACTTTTGATTTGCAAAAATAGTTGGGACAAAATTATCAAAATCCAGTTTAAATAATTGGATGTGTAATGAGTTTGGTAAACAAATTATCTTCTCATAAGCTGGAAGCATTTTTCCTGTAAGCCACACAGCTCAATAGACATGCTGGGCATTTTAGAACATTTTATGGGAATTATTTCCTATTCACAAAATGGCTGCTATCTTTCTCAGTAGAAATTTACCAGACAGTAACCAGTGAAGTACTTCCTACCCTTCCAGCATACCCTTTTCTTTGAGTGAGTGTTCGTTTCCAAACACAAAGCATGATATGGCTATTCATCATTTGTAATGGTATGTGGGAATGACTTTGGGAGAAGGAGGAAGAGCTGCAGCCCAGACAAGAATCTTCCTCCTGTTTCCCAAGGACATACCATATGCCATCACACCATTGTTATTTACTACAATAAAAATGTATCTGGGATCAATGTAGAAGTAAAAATAAAGCTTCCATTTGCTGCTGCTACTCATGTGTTAATTAAAAGACTAACAAATACTAGTCAGTTGGTATAGGCAGCCTTTAATAAAAACTGGACAATTCACAATCCATTGGGTCCTCATTTCAGAGATATTTCCTTACATAAACAAACAGTATGACCACAGGAAGGCAAAGAAAATCAATGGGAGCAGGAGTGATTTCCAATTTCCTGTCAACTTCCCCAGTTTCCTTATGGGACATTGGCAGGAAGTGGGAAATAGCCTTGCCACCCTCTTATCTCCTTTCCTTCCTTGTCCTTCCTGCCTACCTTCCCTCTTTTTTTCCTCCTCCTCTCTGCCAGCATTTCAATTGACAATAAAAAAAAGGTACTATGTGGGTTGGAGCAAGGTGTGCAGCATGGATGAGGAAGAGTAGATGGGAGTGCACAAGGGGTGCTCAGCAGGTCCGGGAAGTGTGGTGTGAGTTGGGGAGGAGGCACAAAGCTGCATGAGGTGTTACACAGGACCAGAAGGATGCATGAGGGTGGTGCATGGGTTTGGAAGTATGTGCAAGGGTGTATGAATGGTGCCAGTTGGTTTAGGGTGTGGCATGATACAGCATAGGTCGGAGAAGGTGCAGAAGAGGTGGAGGAATCAAGGAGGGCATGGGGAGTGTAGTGTAGGTTGAGCAGGGTGCACCAACATGTGCAGAGACACCTTCTAGGTTGGGGAGTGTGTGCAGGATTCAGCATGAGTCAGGAAAGTTGTATGATTGATTGGTGTGGCATGAGCACAAAAAGGAATGGGGAGATTGTACACATGGGAGAAATGTACCTGAGCAATATGCAACCTCTACTGCCTGCTTCCCTGTTCCTGATACTCTCTGCCAGCATCCTACAAGCAAAGACATGGTTTGTGGGAAATTGGCAGGGAGCATTGGAAATTACAATGTAACTGCAGTTGATTATGGCAGCACTAAGTCGCCACAAATTTGCCACATTTCAATCCCACAGGAGTCATGGGTCCCAGATTTTGGTCGCATTCTGTAAGTTAGCCCATTTGAGGTATGTTGATTCAAAAATTGTCCTGTGATGTACTTCTTTGACCAATTGAATATTACAAACAAACACAAACATTTTATTAGTATATAGATTTTTTAAAAGTGTGCATTTTTATACTTTTACCCCCTGCTGTAAATTTAGATGGAAAAGAAGTTATTCCAGTATTTGGAACTGAATTGGGAAGATCCTAAGACCCAAATTTCTTTTCTCGCTCCACATACTACTGTATCTGAGTAATTCTTTATTGACTTAGTCCATCACACGATTCTCAAGAAATAAACTTTTTATTCAGAAAGATTCCTTTGTTAATATCTATGCTTTTGGAACAGTAGCAGAATAACTTAAATCTGGAATTACTAGAATTGTTCATTATATAGTTGCAAATATCTCCCTTTCCCTATCTAATGAGGAATTTATTTCAAAGGGGAAAATAGATGTTTACCCAAATGGAAGCTAAACCGGTATCATTGGACCAGGATAAAATGAATCATATGCTAACCATGCTCACTCATCCTAACCAGGGCCACAATCCAAAGCAATAAATATTACATGCTTGAATAAATAAGTTTTAATTCTTTAAATAAAAGACAAACTTTCAGTATGTAAGAAATGTATTAAGTCAGTACAGTATGTAAAAATATGTTGATAGTTGATGTCCAAACAAATCATCTTCGTGAACATTAAAGCCTTGCCTCCACTACAGATGCCTGCAGCTTGCGTCAAAATTTGCTGTCATGCAGTTAAATGAGCTAGAAATATACACATATCTGTAACTGGAATCACAAGGTTTAACATTGTTCTGGGTATTATTCAGAAGGTGAGAAAATATGGGACAGATCTATGTCCGGATGTCTAACTTCATGTTATTGTTGCTAAGAGTGTCTTGGGAGGAAAATTGGAACAAATAATTTATTTTTGACATTTGACATAGCGCAAGCAGAAAGTACAGCCAGGGAAAACACCTCACATTTAAAAGCAAGGAGGTGCATATAGATTTTGGTAGCAAAGATAAGGCAGGGGAATATGGAGCTTATTATCGTATTCCATAAGAATCATTTAAAATGTCTCCCAAGAACTGGGTTTCAATGCCAAAAAGTTTACACTGGGTAGAAGGAGCCAGCATAACTGATAATGATGTCTCATACAACCTAAGCATTAATTTTGATCGATCAGTCAAGATATAGGTTGGTTGGCTTTTGGTACTTGTTATAAAAAAGACCCTTATGTTGTAATGTTCACTTCCCCCTTCCAAGCTGATGTTTCTAGGCATTGCTCTATTCTGGCTCCTTCTTCCCCTCTTTGTATCAACTAAGACATTTTGATAGGTTAATCATTGGCTATGACATTTCCAAAAGTGGAAGAACAGGAGATAAAGGATTGGGGAAGCCTGAAAGGCCAACATCATCTTACAGATCCACCCTGAAAGGAAAGAGAAGAAAAATGAAAAGATATAGAGATCATAAGTGGTGTCTAATCATATTAAACAAAAAAGATCCTGGAAGTTGCAAACCTAATATGCAGATAGTTTCCCTCCTGTTGATTAGAATAAAATATCTTCTATCTTTTCACTTGATGCAGTTTAAAAATATGATATTTAACCTCACTTACCTAAATTGCATAAGCTTATATAAGTAGATAGCTATTTTTCTTTAAACAATTAATTACTGCAGAGAAGTATCAGGTGAAGCATTTTCACCACAACTAGGGATGCACTAGTCTAGGTGGAAAATAGAAATACAGGCTAATACAACTGCAGTTTGGAGGATCCCAAAGCTGCCTACAACTTACCTGAAACAAGGAATGAGTGTTCACATAAAGAAGCTCCCAAGTGTAGAAGCCAGGATAATGATGAGGATGATGCAGCATAACATAATCATTATCTTCTTCTGCTCAGCAAGAGGAAAAATACCCAGATGTATTAATAAACATGGAGGTGATAGAATTGGAGGAAGAACAGGGCTTATTTTATATGAGTCACATAGTACAGGTAAGTCTTCAACTTACAAACACTATCGGGACCAGAATTTCCATTGCTAAACAAGGTGGATTTTAAGTGGGTCACGTTTACAAACTTTTTTTCCACAGTGGTCAGGCAAATCATTGTAGTCGTTAAGCAAATCATGTTCTTCGTTAAGTGAATCCAGCTTTCCCCATTGGCTTTGCTGGTCAGCTGGCCTTCATGTGATCCTGGGACTCTACAACTGTCGTAAATACATGCCAGTTGCCAAGCTTCCAAATTTTGATGATGTGATTGTGGAGATGCTGCAGTGGTCATATGTGCAAGGACTGGTTGCAGGTCACTTTTTTCAGTGCCATTGTAACTTTGACTGGTCACTAAACAAATGGTTGTACATAGAGGACTACCTGTAACAGTGTGATTTTAGACTGTACAATAGGAAGGTTGAGACACAACACAGAGGAGTTGAAGAAGGTACAAACTATTCTTTCACAGACCCAGATATTTCAAAGTTCGCTTCATTGTGTTTTTGTCCCCTGAGTTATTTTTATACAACACTGTTGGGCCCAGTTCATGTTGGGAATTTGTACAATTCATAGTTGTTGTAGATGGAAAGGGTGCTATCCAAAAGTCCATTTCTAATTCTGCATTCCTTTACCAGACATCTCTATAATTACTAGCAATGAGAGGAAAATATTCAGCTAAGGTTGGTGTCCTAAAAATACATAGGGGGAGTACCTCTATGTTCATGGAACCATTCTTACCACACCCTCCTACAGATGCTGCAACCTTATGGCAAACATGATACAGGCCAAAGAAAATACATGTTCCTCAAAATTAATTGTATGGTTATACCCACTACCTCAGGAGTTAAGTGAACAGACACAAAAATTACATACCGATGTTCCAATAATTCATTTATTCTTAAACTTCATCATTTCTTTAAAAAGTTTCATCAAAAACAATTTCGTAGAATCTCCGCTGTCCATAGGCAGCTTACTATGTTGAAGTGCAGTTTTTCATCTTTACAGATAGTGTTCATAAATGGTCCTTTCACTCCCATTTACAAGTTACAGACATCAAAGCCAAGTGAGCCCACCACACTTTCTTAGCTCTGTCTGTCTACTCTCGAAAGTGTTATATAAATTGTTTATCCATGGCTAGACAAACTAGAATCTAAACAGTGGAACTGGTGGAAAAGTTGATAAATTTTGCTAGGAATTAGTAGTAGTCATCTCTCCCCAGACAAAATGGGAATCACTTTCTCTTCCAATCAAAGGACTATTTTGTCTCATATAATTAGAAAGTAAATAATCTCTATAGAATTTGAATATGCTGCTGATCTCTAAATCTGCATAAAATACTACTGCCAGAGCCCCAAAATCTGCCATCAAATGAGTTTACAGCTCCACATCAAAGATAAGATGTAAGCAGAGAATTTGGTTGATTCAGTCTCTGAGGTAGATTTCCATACAGCAAATATACTGATTTTGAAGGCAACAACTGTGTTAACTTTTCCCCCAGGGAAAAATCTGGCACTCTTTTGATGATATAACTAGCTTCTCTAAATAAACAAAAAAGTACCCCGTCAACTAAAAAAATTCACACATTTTTAAGCAATACACAAATCTTTCTATTTCCATGAGTTATACCACTGTAGGAATGGAACAGGTGTAGTCGATAGGCCAAAGGGCATACAAGTTGTTAATCACAGCAAAATGTTCTTATATACAAAAATAAAAGTTAAAAAAATGTTGGGAATTTCTATCAGAAAAACAATGCTATAACTGTATTCATAAGAGAAAGCTTCTCTTTCATCTTTAACAAAATAGAAGGATTTTACCAAGAAAAAAAATATCTTCTATAAACAGAATTTGTAAATGTTAGAAGAAATGGGTCTCAGCTGCCATGCCACATCAACTAAACACAATGTTTTTCTCCAGACCACTTTTTCTGCCCTACAAATCTTGATCAGGTAACAACAAACAGCAAGTTCAGTAATGGGTGCAACATTTATCAACCAGAAACCATCAGTATAAAATTTAAAATATTAAAACAGAAAGAACCCTCCCAGCCCCCAATTTCCCTAATATTCATGTCCTCAAAGAGATAGACCATAAAAACAATTCTATATTAGAAAAAGAGATGAGATACAATTGTGCCTTCAGTATTTGATTTGAAAGAAATTAAACTTTGCAAATAGAGCTCTCCAAAACATGTTAGGTTAAAATGGACTGTTTCAAGTGTACTGGAAGTGGTCCTATCTCAAGGTGACATATTCCTTTTTTGGTTCCAAGGTCAGACAATTTTAGTGCACTCAGAGAAACTGCTCAAAACTGGATTATTTCAACTCAAAACACTTTGAATGCACCACTACATACAGCACCTCAGAAATATAATTGCTTTTCACAAGTGAAAGGAGCTGTCCAATATGAAGTAACACATATCCCAAGGAGTGTCTTTGCTAATGAGTATTTGAAGACAGGTCTTACTCTGACCTGTTCTAAGTTCCCAAAATATAGAATATCCATGGCTATAGCAAAACATTTGAGCTGAGTAGTTAATAAAACACAAGCAACTCAGACTTCAAGGGTGTGAGTGCTAATAGTCCATCTCTAATGTAAAACACAGATATTGGCCTGATTTAAAACATAGATTGAATACAAACTGGAGTGCCTCAATTTTGCTTGTTTGCCTAAATCCATTGTGTCTTCCAACAATAACTTAACTTACTGCAGACTCATTTGTCATGTTCATAGCTACCATGATGTGGATTGAAGGACTCCCTCTGGGCTATCATCTTATGTTTTCTGTAAAAAATACGAAACCTGCTCCAGCCTGTCGAGTATAAAATGGGGTGAAGATTAAGAGTTACATAGCAGTTTAAGGCTTAGTTCTAAATGGACTTTTTGAAAATAGCATTGTCTGACAAGTCCAATAATCTGTACAATGTTTTTGAAAGAGTTAAATTAAAGCAGTGAGGTAGGCAATAAGGCTCCCCAAATTCCTCTAAGGTTCATTTCCACTGTGTTGTTGATCATTCCAGAAGAAATCCTTGAATTGAAGCAAGCAGGTAAATCAGGAAGGAATGGAGGAATGGATAAGGAGTAGATCAGATAGGAACTCATCTCTGGAATGCCATGAGATTTCTGGATGTTCTGGTTGCAGGAAGGTACATAGGGTCTTCAGGCTATGGAACTGGAAGAGTCTGGCTCTCACAGGAAACATGGGCGCAAGTGCACTCATCCTGCTGAGCATCATTCATACTTCATCCAAGCAGGGTAGGGAAGGAAAGCACAAACCATGGCATTGAGGTTCAAGAAGGGAAATCTTGC